GATATTGATTTTAGCGTAGTGCCTAAATTTTTAACTTTAATCTTAAATTTCTGTTTTGATTTGCCAATATTTGTCCTTGTGAGCTGTGAATTGTGTTATATTACTTGTGGCTTGTACGAGACCGCTGTTTTATTTGATTTGTTTTGTGTGTTGTGCTTTATGATGGGCGTAAAGCCGAATAAACATTTTGATATGGAAGGCAGTGGAAGACAGGAGTGCCTGGCGTGCTGTGGTCCAGGGGTCACAAAGAGGCAGACACGACTAAACGACTAAACAATAACAAGGCCTTGGCAAGGTAGCCTTTAGTCTAACATCAAGTTGGGGGAGATGCATTCATGCTCCCTCCCCATGCGGCGGCACTTGCAGGGCCCGTTAAAGGGCAAAAACCGGGAGTCCCTGCCCCTAGAGCGGGACAAGGTCGGTGGAAGGGCATGCTGTGTAAGTCTGCACTTTGCAGTTCCCTCTCACTGGATCTCACTGAGAGGGTTACCTGTCAAGGCCTGTGCCAAGTTTCCCACTTCTGAAGTTCAATAAAGTTGCGGCCAATTTGAACCCATACTCTGGTCTCTTGTCTCATCATTCGGGGAAAAGGGGTAGGCACCACAGACAGGGTTTCGCACGTGTGCCCGTGAACTTTTCCCCCAGAAGGTCTTCTCCGGCTTGGATTTTTTGTTCTCCTCTCCTGCCCTCATGCCTCAAGCACTGAAATGGAGGAATCAGAGGTCCCTGGGAGATTTAGCATGCTCAACAGCATTGCAGGTGCAAGGAGCCCTGGGATATGCAGTTACCAAGGCACCCTCCTAAGGACTCAGGTGCTCTGGGAAACTGCATTTCCCAGAGCCCCAAAGAACATGGAGGCTGCTGTTTCAGCACTCAGGGTACCAGAAAGAGAAGGAAGGCATGGAAGTATGGCCGCTCCAATGTCGTCGTCGTCATCATCATCACTTTTTGAAATATACTCGGAGTCGAGAGTGGATTTCATGCTCTTTATTCAGCTCATAGTGGTGAGGAGGAATGTAAGTTCCTCCGAAATGTCAGCTTTGTGTACATTATTTACACAATGGGCCCCACGTGATTGGCTAATTCTGGGATTCTCCTGTAGGCCAATCAGGTTGCGGATTCACTTCCACCCGGAGATGGATTGGGTGGCTCCTGTGGACCAATCAAACTGCCGCATTCTGAATCCTATTGTTCTAGGACTAATCAGACCGCTGCATTTTGGATCCTATTCTACTCAGTACATAACACTTTTAAGTTGTATGCTGCCTTTCTATCTTACAATACTCAAGGCCGTTTACAAGCTGAACTACATCCAACACCAAGGTTTACAAATAATAAATTATTTTTATTATTATTACACTGATTGGCAGCAGTTTTCCAGGGTTTCAGAGGGGGTCTTTCCCAGTCCTATCTGGGAACTGAACCAGAGACCTTCTGTAGGCAAAGCTGGAGCTCCCACTCTTGGCTCTCTTTTGCAAAACCACTTCTGACACCCAGGTGCAGGTCTCAAATCCTTTCCACCAACTTCTTTCATTCAAGGGTGGAGAATGCCTTGGGGCCCTTCAGACTTGACTACCTGGCCCTAAGAACTCTCCCAAGGCCACACATCCGCGCGGCCCTGCTTTGCACTTGTTAAGTTGTGGGTGAACATATCAGACGACACAGCGATTCTTCAAACAGCTCTTGTTTATTCACGGGCCAGGCCAGAACTGAACTGAAGGATTCAGCCAGCCTGCTTATATAGAGCTCCAGTACAACCTACCTGTAACAACTTTCTGTAACTATCCAATCACTGAACGTCACTTTCGATCCCTTATTTGCATATGTGGACCTGAACTATCTACAGTATCCCCCTGCTGGCCCAGGGTGAGAACTTCAGTACATAACAGCGCTGGCTGGAACATGTCCTTGAACTCTGTTCATGCCTCTTGCTTGTCTGGATGGAGGACAGAGAGCTGCGTTAGAGTGTATGTGTGTAACCCAGCCTACTCCACAAAGGAAAAGAATTGCATCTGTTGCTCCGCCCACTTTTGCCTCTGGCCCCGCCTACCACTCGCAGGTGGCCCCCAGAACCTCATCCAGAAGGAAATCCGGCCCTCGGAAGGTTCCTACTGCCGTGCAGGAAGCATTCATTTGCCACCTCTCAGGCTTTTCAAGAAGCTCCCAGCAACAAAATGTGTTTTGTGTTTATTTTCTTAAGTTGTTGACAGAAGAGCAGGAACATATCCCAGGCGAAGTGGCGGCACTGGATGGGGAGGGTTAGATAATTTCGAACAAGGGTCTTTCAAAAATAAATAAATGTAGTGCTCCCATCCTGAAAATATTTATCAAGATGCCGCCGCCGCCGCTGCCGCCGCTCAACAACCCTTTCCTATCTTATTTGGTTTGCCGTTCAAACAAAGGCTCAGGAAATTGGATGCTCTCGCCGCCTCTGATGATATCGTCTAAACAGCCTCATCTAGGCCTCGCTGTCTCCTGCACTGGCGAGGTAGAGCCATCATCACGGCTGCGGGGTCAATGGTGGTGACAGTGGCAAGCGATAGCCTCCCATTGCGACAGCGTCTGAACGCGAGCAGAGGGCAGGTGTGGAAACGGCGTTTCCGTGCGCTGCTCTGGTTCGCCAGAAGCGGCTTAGTCATGCTGGCCACATGACCCGGAAGCTGCACGCCAGCTCCCTTGGCCAGTAAAGCGAGATGAGCGCCACAACCCCAGAATTGGTCACGACTGGACCTAACGGTCAGGGGTCCCTTTACCTTTATAGCCCCAGGACTCAGTGGCGGCCACCAGCCTTTGAAAGAGGGTTGATGGAGGAGAGGTGTCAGGAGTGCGTGCAGGAGCCAGGCCCTGTGACCAGTAGGGCTTCGCAGGACCGGGGCCTTCCTAAGTTTGTTCTGGAGAGGCAAGGCGTGGTCACACAGGTGAGGCCGATTGGTAACACACTGCACCTGGTGGCAAGAGAAAGGAAGGGATATAAGGTCAGCATTTCCCTTCGGCTCTTTGCCCCAGCAACATGTTTCCTGCCTTGCTGCGTTTGGCTTTGTGACTCCTTGCTTCTTGATCCTCGGACCCCTGACTTCATGACTCCTTGCTTCTCGACCCTCAGACCCTTGACTTCGTGACTCCTTGCTTCTTGATCCTCGGACCCTTGACTTCTGGACTCCCGTTCCGGCTCCCACCCCGCCATCTTGCTCCCGGTCCCAACATCCTCAGCCGGGACTTCGATCGCCCGTAGACCTGACCATGATAAGAGGGCTTTTGATGGTTTCTAGCCACAATGGCTCGTCTCAGCCCCCACAGTTGGAGGCAGGAATGCTTTTGCATACCCTCCTGGAAGTCACATGAGGGGAGAATGACTCTTGTGTTCAAATCCTCAAAACAGATTGAGGTTGAATCCTGACAAGACAGAAGTACTGTTTTGGGGGGAGAGGGGGCGGGCAGCTGTGGAGAACTCCCTGGTCCTGAATGGGGGTAACTGTGCCCCTGAAGGACCAAGTGCACAACCTGAGAGTCATTTTGGACTCACTGCTGTCCATGGAGGCGCAGGTCAATTCTGCATCCAGGACAGCTGTCTACCATATTCATCTGGTATGCTGGCTGAGACCCTCCCTGCCTACGGACTGTCTCGCCAGAGTGGTGCATGCTCTGGTTATCTCCTGCTTGGACTACCGCAATGCGCTCTACATGGGGCTACCTTTGAAGGTGACCCAGAACTAATCCAGAATGTGGCAGCTAGAGTGGTGACTGGGAGCGGCCACCAAGACCATATAACACTGGTCCTGAAAGCCCTTCATTGGCTCCCAGTACGTATCTGAGCACAATTCAATGTGTTGCTGCTGACCTTTAGAGCCCCAAACGGCTTCGGCCGAGTATACCTGAAGGAGCGTCTCCACCCCCATTGTCCTGCCCGGACACAGAGGTCGAGTTCAGAGGGTCTTCTGGTGGTTCCCTCCCTGCGAGAAGTGAGGTTATAAGGAGCCAGGTAGATGGCCTTCTTGGTGGTGGCGCCCCCTCCCATCAGACGTCAAGGAAAGAAACAACTATCTGACTTTTAGAAGACATCTGAAGGCAGTCCTGTTTAGGGAAGTTTTAAATGTTTGGTGTTTTATTGTGTTTTAATATTCTGTTGGGAGCTGCCCAGAGTGGCTGGGGAAACCCAGCCAGGTGGGCGGGGTATAAATAAATTATCATCATCATCATCATCATCATCCTGCTGGCATGTTTCCTACAAGAGGCAACTGGTTGACCCCTGTAAGAACAGGATGCTGGAATAGATGGGCCACTGGCCTGATCCAGCAACCTCTTCCTATGTTCTTAATTATATTTAAGGTATTTATATACCACTCAATCATTAGCATTGCTAAGGTGTGTGCATAAAATAAACCTTCCCGGATAAAGCTGCAGTAGCATCACATTTAACGTCTTTGTAAATTCCTTGGAGGAAGGGATGGAGAGGGTGCTTGTCAACTTAGCAGATGATGCCAAACAGGAAGGGGTAGCTACTAATGCAGAAGACAGAACCAGGATCCAGTGTGACCTTCAAGGAGAACTGGACCCAAAGTAACAAAATAAATTTCAGTCAGGACAAATGGAAGGTTCTGCACTTCCTCAGGGATAACGAGAGGCAGAAATATAAGATGGGGGACCTGACTTACTAGCAGTACATGCAAAACGGATCTAGGGGTCTTGGTAGACCGCAGCGGTACCTGTTTATCTACTTGCACTGGTGTGCTTTCGAACTGCTAGGTTGACAAGAGCAACAGGAGGTCATCCCATTGTACAGATTCGAACCGCCGACCTTTTGATCAGCAAGCCCAAAGGGCTCAGGGGGTCAGCAAACTTTTTCAGCAGGGGGCCAGTCCACTGCCCCTCAGACCTCGTGGGGGGGGGGGCAAACTATATTTTGGAAAAAAATAATGACCGAATTCCTATGCCCCACAAATAACCCAGAGATGCGTTTTAAATAAAAGGACACATTCTACTCATGTAAAAACACGCTGGTTCCTGGACAGTCCGCGGGCCGGATTTAGAAGGCGATTGGGCCGGATCCGGCCCCCGGGCCTTTGTTTGCCTACCCATGGTTTAGACCAAGTGGCCTGACACAGGATCTGGCAGTTTCCCCAGATTTGTTCTCTCCCTGCCTCTGCTTGCAAATGCACCTGGGGACATCCCTTCTTCACTGGGAAAGGGGAAGGAACTTAGGGGGCAGCCAGGGCATGCAAACGAACACCTGAAACCCAGGTTGGCAGGCTGGGAGTCTCCATGGCACCCCAGTGGAGTCTTCACCCAGGGCAAAAGTCCCAGCTGACACCCAGCTATGACATTGGGTTGGCTGTTGTAAGGACTAGATGGGTCATTGGCCTCTGTTATGTTCTTATATCAATGACAAACCTAGACAGCATCTTAAAAAGCAGAGACACCACCTTGTCAACAAAGGTCCCTATAGTTAAGGCTATGGTTTTCCCAGTAGTGATGTATGGAAGTGAGAGCTGGACCATAAAGAAGGCTGATCGCCGAAGAATTGATGCTTTTGAATTACGGTGCTGGAGGAGACTCTTGAGAGTCCCATGGACTGCAAGAAGATCAAACCGATCCATTCTGAAGGAAATCAGCCCTGAGTGCTCACTGGAAGGACAGATCCTGAAGCTGAGGCTCCAAGACTTTGGCCACCTCATGAGAAGAGAAGACTCCCTGGAAAAGACCCTGATGTTGGGAAAGATGGAGGGCACAAGGAGAAGGGGACGACAGAGGACGAGATGGTGGGACAGTGTTCTCAAAGCAACCAGAATGAGTTTGACCAAACTGCGGGAGGCAGTGGAAGACAGAAGTGCCTGGCGTGCTCTGGTCCAGGGGGTCACGAAGAGTCGGACACGACTAAACGACTAAACAACAACATGTTCTTATATTCTAAAGCAGTTCCAGTGCCTTCTCTGCTCTGGAGAACCTCATTCAGAATTCCTGAATATACTTAACAGGAAGGCTTTGCAATAGAGCCCCAAGGTGGGCTAATGGCCCTAATCCACAAGGCTCTCCTTTTGCTCTTACATTCTTAACCTGGCCCAGTAGTGCATAAGCAGCCGGTTCAAGCTTTCAGCGCCGGCCTTACGTGCTGGAGGTAGCCAGCTGTTGCACCCTGTCGCTGCAGCCTTGGCCCCCAGCCATTGTCGAAAAGGACAAGTCCGGAAACGAAAACATCAAAGGGCGGCGATGATCGTCTTCTTCATCATCACAACATACGCTGCATCATACAGACATCAGAGCAGTGCGTCGTGCATGTGCATTGGGAGGAGAAGAAAGGCAGCCGGAGCATCGCCGCAGCAGCTCCGAGCGAGAAATGTTGGCTTCTCACAGAAAGCAAGAGAATTTGCGGCTCAGCCGAGAGAGCGCACAAAGGATGAAGCCAAAAGGCTTTTTATGAGCTCATTGGCCGTTCCGTCAAAGAAACAGCTGCCAATTAAGTATGGTAAACTGAGTCACTCCTTCCCACCGTTCCTGCATTTCTGATCTGATCTTTCTTTGTCTCCTTGCCCTGAATGGCAGTCCAGAGTTCACTTCTGATGACTTTCAGCCAAAAGGGAAGGCAGGGAGGTCAACGTTGAAAGGAGAGCAACTCCATGGTTGAGTTTTCTGGGGATCAGGGGTGAAACTGGGGTGAGGGGCAGGAACTCATCCGTTTAGTGTGACGCTCATAGAGGATGCTTGGGGAATTGGTTCGCTTGGAACTGATCTGATCTGTACTTCCTAGAAATGGGAGCCACAGGAGATGTAATTTTCCCAAGGACCCCTGACAGTCATCTTGTGCATATTTTGGAGTTTTTCAGGATAAAGGTGGGTAGATGGCCAGATGATTCTTTCCTTTCATGACTGTGCTGTGTGGGATGGCCAGTTGTATATCACTCCCGCTTGGACTACTGCAATGTGCTCTACGTGGGGCTTCCTTTGAAGGTGAACCCAGAAACTACAACTAATCCAAAATGCGGCAGCTAGACTGGGGACTGGGAGCGGCTGCCGAGACCATATAACACCGGTCTTGAAAGACCTACATTAGCTCCCAGTACGTTTCCGAGCACAATTCAAAGTGTTGCTGCTGACCTTGAAAGCTCTGAACGACCTCAGTCCAGTATATCTGAAGGAGAGTCTCCACCCCCATCGTTCTACCCAGACACTGAGGTCCAGCGCCGAGGGCCTTCTGGCGGTTCCCTCACTGCGAGAAGCCAAGTTACAGGGAACCAGGCAGAGGGCCTTCTTGGTGGTGGCGCCCGCCCTGTGGAACGCCCTCCCACCAGATGTCAAAGAGAACAACAACTACCAGACTTTTAGAAGGCATCTGAAGGCAGCCCTGTTTAGGGAAGCTTTTAATGTTTGATGCATTACGGTATTTTAATATTGTTGGAAGCCGCCCAGAGTGGCTGGGGAAGCCCAGCCAGATGGGCGGGGTATAAATAATAAATTATTATTATTATTACCCCTAAACCCCCAAAAGGCCCATGCTGGGATAAAATCTGCATGGATTAAAAAAATGGATAAATG